AGCTCATGGTGTAGCTGATCAGGGCCATGAGCACCCCGATGGGTGGCCAGGAAGTACCAGTCCTCACCCACACGGAACAGCTTCTGCTTCAACCACTCCAAGCCGCCTGGCGCAGGGGCACAGGGTCACAACCCAGAGCCAGGCGGGCATGGACAGCCCTTCCCTGAAGCCTGCTCTTGCTCAGGGCAGGAAGGGCAGGGCAGTGTGGGGCTGGGGAGGCGGTCCAGTCCAGGGTCGCCTGCAGGGGCGCTGCCTCACGTGGGGGCAGAGCAGGATTTGTGGTGGTGATGGTGGCAGCGCAGGGGGCCTCTGATGGGCCTGCCCCCACCCCTGCCCCACACTGGGGTACTTATGGAAGGACGGTCAAGGCTCAGGGGTGAGGAGTGCTGGGAGCTACCGCTCTCTCTAATCACCACAGGGGTCCGTAGCTTAGGCAGCACTAGGGTCTAGCAACACTCCTGTGTTGTCCCAGGACCTGCGGGGCTGGTGTTGGGCCAGAGAGCACCCCCTGGGCCCTTAGCAAGGCCCCGGGCACAGTGATCGGGCATCAGGGCTGCAACCCCAAAAGGCAGGGGGCAGGCGTCGAGCACGTCTGTCCCACAGACTGATGGACAGACAGATCCCTTCCCTCCCTGCCACCAGGAGACGCTGGGCAGTGATGTTAGGGCAGCTAAAGGGGGAGGGCAGCTGGTGGGCTTTCAGGGGGCGGGAGGTGCAGCCTGGGAAGGGGGTGAGGTCCTGAGGGGTCTCTGACGGGGAGGGGAAAGGAACCCAGCTCTCACCTCTGATGCGTCGGCGGATGCGGGGACACGGGCCCCACAGCTCCTGAAGAGTCACAGGGTTCCCCGAGGAGCCCTCTCGCAGCCCCACCAGCTCCTCCATGGCGTCCCTGAGGCAGCCGACAGGCAGGGGGACCCTCGGGGAGCTGCCCCAATGCCCGCGCCCTGCCCCCTGGCCCTTCCAATATTGCTACTTCCCGGGTCAAAAGGAAAGGTGGCGTTCCCCGGGGTGTGTGCGTGTGTGTAAAGCTCCCGGGGGGACCTAAGTCTAGCGTGCCCTGGGGTGTCAGCGAGGGCGTGCGTGTGCGTGTAGCGTGTGAGGTGGGCTTCCTGTCTGTGCCCTTCGCGTCCAGCAGCAGATTGACCAAAGCAGGTCTGCGAGCCTCAGAGCCCCTTCCCCCTCCCGTGATCACCGCTCCCACCCTCCCTGGACACTTGTCTGTGTCTCCACCGATGGCTCTGGCTCCCTGAGCCCCCTCCGCTTCAGCTCAGGCCACAGAGACAGCAAAACCCCAGGCCCAGAAGGAGAGGCCGAAATGAGGTGCTGGCTCCCTGCCCCCTGCCCTTCTGCTCCTGCCCGGCTTGACCGGGGCCTGGCCAACCCCCTCCGAGTCCATCCCCCGCGGCCCCTCACCTGTGTCCGTCCGTCCTGCTGTGGCCCCAGACGGCCCTCTAACAGAGACTCCTTTGCCTGCAGCTCAGGTGAACCTGCACAGGTGTGTGTTCCACCAATCAGCACCTGCTCCCCTCCTCTCTCTCCTCCCGGCTATTAAAGATGTTCTTGACAACCGACCGGAACTGCCAGGCCTGCTGGTCGTGCAGCCAAGCAGCCAAAGGGAGCGGGGAGC